CCCCCCCCCAACAAATCATAATCCCCTTCTCCTTATCTGGAAGCCTGAGCAGGTTATTGATTAACTCAGGGTGGATTCTGCTTTGCAAATACTGTATCCCCATATTTTGCGTGCTAGGTAGGGCTCAGAACCCCCAGCATACACTCAGCACACACCTCCTGATGGGTGTTACTGGCAGTGCCCTAGGTCATTCCTTATCTGGATGAATGTTCTTGAAGGCCCTGGAGCCCCGCCCTGACTCCTCAGTACCTGGAGTATGTCGGCCCTGTTCAGGGCGCTGGCCGCCACCTTCAGGAGGACTTCTCCCTCTCCTGGGCTTGGCTTGGCCACCTCCTTCAGGTAGAGGTTTTCTGGTCCTCCCGGCTGGTCAAAGTGCACAGCTAACATGTTTCCTGAGGACACAGAGCAGAGCAGGGCAAGGAGCCTCATGAGGGTCTTTGAGGAGTTAGTGTAGAAACCTTATTTTCTTTAATCTGGCCTTTTATTTTTGTTAGCTTTCACTCAAACTGGCCTCACCTAGGGCCCTGACTCACCCACCAACCTCTCTTTTGCCGAATCATTAAGCCCCCAGGACAATGAGGTTCTGGTCAACAACAGCAGTGGTCTTAGGAACAAGGGCCTGGGTTTCTTGACCACTGAGACGGAGTTAAACATAACATCTTGGCCTCAGCTGTGTCCGTACACAGGAAAGTGGATGATCCCACAGAACAAACCCGTGAGAAATTGGATAGAGCAACTCAGGACCAGATGCAATGACCAGTTGCCCCCTACCCTAGCACTGACAAATCAGTGGAGACCAGGACCCAAACTCCTTTGGTCACCATGACTAATGATTTTTCCCTACACAAGGTGGGGCAGAAGTAGGTTTAGGGTGGGGCAACAGCAGGTTGTGAGTAAGTGAAACAGAGTTTATTCTTGTATTATTATTTAATTATTGTATTATTTTCCACACGAACTGTAATCCTACTTTTGCCCCACCCTGTATAACCCACCCCCTAGAAGTGACCTGGAGCAGGTCTCTGAGCGTGAGCTAGGGGAGCAGGATGGCCTTACTGGGCGGATGCTGTGCAGCTGGAAAACACTGACTAGCACGAAGCAAGTTCCACTCTCTCTGAGTTGGAATCCCCGCCCGGCCCTGGTCACTGGTGGAAACACCCAGAAACCTTATTTTCTTTAATCTGCCCTTTTATTTTTTAGCTTTGGCTCAAACTGGCCTCACCTAGAGCCCTGACTCACCGCATCAGGACCAGATGCAATGATCAATTACAGGACAAACCCTTGCAAGATTGGACAGAGCAACGAACTCCATGGCTGACATCAGGACCAGATGCAACGATCAACTAACACCTACCCTGGCCACGGCCAATCAGTAGAGACCAGGACCCTAGCTCCCTTAGTCCCCATGATTGATGACGCTTCCCTATGTGATCCATCCCCTGNCCATTGGTCACCAAGACTAATGATTTTCCCCCTTAATAATCCATCCCCTGGAAACCATGGGAGAGTCGGCGTTGAGCATGAGCTACCTGTGACTCTGGGCACTGTGCCATCTCCTTAACAAGTCCTTTCTCGGCTGCAGACTCCCGCTGTCTTACTGGGCTTCCAGGCGCACAGGCGAACGGACCCCGCAGGGCGACGGGGGCGCCGCCCGAGCCCACGCTGCAGGGCCCCTGCGGGCCAGCGGCCTCAGTCTGTCCAGGTCCCAGGGGACTGCCCCCCCTCCCCCTCCTTCCCCTGAGGTCCGAGCCGGTCCAGACGGACCCACAGCGGACACGGCCCGGCCGGGGTGGGTGAGGCGGGATGTGCTTACGCGCGCATGTTGCAGAGCCGGTTAACACTGAAGCGCAAAGGCATTGCCACTTCCTGCGAGTTGGGCAAACCCGGCCCCTCTCCTGCCCAGGTCGCGGGCGTCCGCGCGAGTCACTCACCCGCGCAGGGCCCTCGGCCGTCGGGCGGCTCGGCGCGGCCCTGCGATCCCCGCGATGCCAGCGGCCCTGCAGCAGCTCCGGGAGCGCGGGGACGGTCGGCAGCGGCCTGTCGGTCTGTCGGTCTGTCAGCTGGAATCTGGGCAGCTGGGCAGCACACAAGGGGCGGGGCCGAGCAGGACCAACCCTCCCTCCCCCGCGTTTCCTTCTTCCCACTGTAACCAGCGACGCTGCTGACAGCCAGCGCGATTCCCTTTCCTTCGCGCCCCGGGGACCCGTCTCCCTGTCGGCCGGGCAGGAAGCGCAGCTCCCCGGCCTCGCTGCGAGGAGAGAAGCCTCCCTCTCGCGGCCGGGCCCCAGCTCGGCCCGTCGGCGGGGGCC